CATTTCACTTTATTACACATAACTTAATTTATGGACATAAATGTTTGGATTTCTTTGTATGTGTGCATTACTTGGGTAGATGCCGACATCTGGTGAAAATTTCATGTCAATAGCTCGATTAGAAATATGTTTTTTGAGAGAAATGTTGACGTGTTCAATACTTATTTTCCCCGCTGTATGAACATCACAAACCACGTCTTGGCCGTTTGACTCTGTTTACACTCTGCCATTGAGTCAACAGACTGAGAATGACTGACTTATGCATTACGCGTTATCCAGGCGGACGAAAAAGTAGTTCCCACCAACCGCATGTTGTTTAGACAAGAACTCGATAGTTTAGTTACTTTCCACTGTGCTCCCAGTAATGATTAACATGACCTGACTGAAGTATCTAAAGTATCAATACTTTGATTTGAGAATTGATTTTAGAGCAGAAAGATCTGGTATCGGAAGTATCAATACTTCAGTATCGATACGCACATCAGTATTAGCTCGTAAAAGGAGACTGTGACAAAGACTTCTGGTTTCAAAACTGCAAGACAAGTAGAAATTATGAAACAATAAGCTAAAAAATATGAGTGATAAGATAAATGTTGGTATGTTGATGCATCAGTTTGATTGTTTTTCTCATAGAAAAACCAAAGATCTTGATGGTGTTTCCAAGTTGACGTGGCAACTGCAGCCAAACACCAAAACTTTTCCTTATTTCAAAGCCTTGTGTGTGTTTGTGTGTTGACAGGAGGACAGCAGTGTGATTCTGGGTTCTGTGGTTCTGGTGTGTATTCTGTGTCTGTTCGTGGATCTGCTCACCGCCGGCGGACTCGTCTTTATAAGTGAGTTGAAGCTAAAACCTTTTCACTTTACAGACGATATTCAGCTGTCTGATGGAGGTCATGTGAGGCGTTCACTGGCTGTGGGACACATGTCACTTTAACTTCATTAAACTTGAATTAAACTGAACCATTAACCAGGTCAGAACAAACATGATTTCATCTCTTTCTAAGTATTTTACTGTTACTGCTGAGCCATAAAAATGTAATTTTTTAACATACAGTGGTGGAAACACCCCATATATGTGTGAAATGTTGCATTAAGAATCACTCTCAGGTCTTCAAGTGCAATTACTTTTCATACAGTCACAGCCAAAGTACTAAACAAATCCTAAAAAAGTCATTAAAAACTAAAAATTGATTGGTTCCATAAAAATACATAAGACATTTTGAGTATTGGGTCATACTGGTACCAGTGATCCACTAATGAAGGTCGGCTTTTTACTAGAAGACAGTTTTTGCTGCCGTGCTTCGTGTCTGTATAAAGCCAGCACATTTGAAAGTTCTTCAGAGACAAAAATGGCTTTGAAATTGAAATTATTAAATGAAACTATTAGTTGTGGAAACAGTTGCAGGTTTGGTGTTGTTGGTTTTGCACACAGGAACTCGTCGTCTTGCTTCACTGATTTTAATTTTTCTCTGTTTAAAACGTCCTGAATGTGAATTAAAGCAGCTCTAAACAGTAAACTTCTCTCTGCATTCACGCTTCTCCTGTTTTTGTGTCTCTGCAGCCAGAAGATGGAGGCGACTCGACAAAATGTGAGTGGCTCGTTCACATTTTAACTTCTTCATTTGAGCTGAAGCGTTCAGTCGATCGATTGGTTGTTGAATATTGAAATAATCGTCAGTTTGAGATTTTTAAAGAAACATGCGTTAAGATTTTCTGATTCCAGACTTACAAAATTCTCAAACTCAATTCTTTTTTAACATTTAAGTCGGTCAAATGCAGATAATCTTGTCTTATTTGAGTTGTTTTCTCACTTAATTAATCTTTAAATGGAGCCTGGTGAGTGTATTCACTCATGGTCTTATGTACATTTTTACTATTCAGAATGCAGTTTAAATCACTTTTTACTTCTTCTACATCACACTAAACATTCTACATTTTACTGCAGTATATATACTGTATCACTACATCAAGAAAATAACTGAGCGATTAATTGAAGCTAAATATTAACATCAGTTGCAACACTAAACCACATTATTACTGCCAGAAACCAGAGTCACATCATGGTCAGATGAAGGTTTTCTGCCCTGCGTTAATGCAAATAAACAACAAAAACAAATTAATTAATCCAGAAAATTATCAAGAATGAAAATAATCATTAGTGACATTCCTAGAATGGACCTTCATCAAACCAAAGTCCATTATAAAAAGTTTAATGTTAAAGCTAAGCTGAAGACTTAATATCCATCCATCCATTATCTATACACCGCTTAGTCCTCACTAGGGTCGTGGGGGGCTGGAGTCTATCCCAGCTGACTCAGGGTGAAGGCAGATTCACCTGGACAGGTCACCAGTCTATCACAGGGCTACACTTAGAGACAGACAACCAAGCACACTCACATTCACACCTACGGACAATTTAGAATCACCA